ATTCTGGTTCTGCCACTTTATTCTCATATTTTCCTCCACCAGCATCCATGCATGTATATATTTGTATACAGAACTTTTCGTAGTCGGTGTTGTATTTACATAAATATAAAAATGTAATGACCCGGCCGGTCGTTTTAAGAATTAATACCCCGTTCTCCTATTAACTGCATTCCCCGTATTTGTTCCTGCTATTATGAGTTGTTGGGAGGATTCGTTTTGAGTTTCGGAGTGTTTTGGGACACCTAGTCCCTAAATGAGAGCTTAAGCTTTAGAATTTGGACTGTAGTCAGAGCAGTGTGAAAACGGCCTCGAATGGAATTTCGTTGGTCCCGTTAGCTCCGCTGGGTGATTTCGGACTTAGGGACGTGTTCGGATTGTGTTTTGGAGATCCGTAGCTTAATTAGGATTGAAATGCCGAAAGTTGAATTTTTGAAGTTTCCGGTTCGATAGTGAGATTTTGATATCGGGGCCGGAATGGAATTCCGGAAGTTAGAGTAGGTCCGTTGTGTCATTTGGGACGTGTGTGCAAAATTTTAGGTAATTCGGATGAGGTTTGATAGACTTTTTGATCAAAAGCGTAAATTTGAAGTTTTGGAATCCTTAGGCTTGAATCCGAGGGTGATTTGGTATTCCGGCGTTGTTTTGAGTGTTCCGAGGATCGGTACAAGTTTGAATAGTGGTATATGACTTGTTCGTATTTTTGGTAGAGGTCCCGGGGGCCTCAAGATGACTTCGGATGGTTGACGGAAGAAATTGGGAGATTTGGAAGCAGCTTCAGCTGTTGAAGTGATGTCATAACCGCACCTGCGGATTGGGGACCGCAGGTGCGGGCCCGCAGAAGCGTGTGGCTAGTCGCAGATGCGGTCTAAGGCGGAATTGGATTTGGCCGCAGATGCGGCCCAGGCACCGCAGAAGCGGCACCGTATCTGCGGAATTGGGGTCGCAGGTGCGGAAATTGCTGTTTAATGAAAAGTCCCAGGTGCGACTTGGTCTGCGCAGAAGCGGGACGGCAGGTGCGGTCCTAGAGCCGCAGATGCGGTTCCACTGATCAGAAAAAGAGCAGAAACAAGGGTTTTGTCTCAAAACCTTAGAAATTGATTTGGGCGATTTTCCTAATTTCGCGTATTAGCTTCGAATTAATTAGTTAAATTAGTTACTTGAAGTTATATTTACATTATGCAATCACTTTGAATAGATTGGGCCATTTGGAGTCGGATACTCGTGGCAAGAACGTGGTATTGAGTTAATTGAGCTGGTTCGGGGTAAGTGGCTTGCCTAACCTTGTGTGGGGGAAACTTCCCTTAGGAATTGGTACTGTGATATATGAAATGCCTTGTACTTGAGCTGACGAGTGCGTACCTGTGCTAATTGTTGAAAATATTATTTTCATTAAGTAACTATAACTGCGTTTTCTTCCCTGTTTTTACTACTTGCAATTTAAGCCTACTGTTAGCTTTGGGAAGCATGTCTAGGTGACTTAACTGCTTTACTTGCTAAAACTGCCTTATTTGAATTATGTGCAGCATGCTAGGCTAGAAATACCTGTTTTACCTTGGTATAAATTTGATTGGATATAATATTCTTCGTGTTGCTGCTATGTGTTTACTTTGGGACTACGGGCGATATCCCGGGAGACCTCCCCCGCCCCCTTACCTGTTTATTTGGGACTACGGATGTGGTACTCCGGGAGATCCCCCTGCACATTTACAATGGAACTACAGGACTGCACCCGGTAGATTCCCCCAGTACTAAGTATTTACATTTGGGACAACGGATGTGGTATTCCGGGAAATCCCCTGCGCATTTTGAGTTGGACTACATGAGGTATCCTGGGAGATCCCCGGTTGTTAACTCTGTGTTGAGCTGTATTCCTTCTGTGATTAATTGTCTCTCTTGTAGTTGTTGCTACTCTTATTACCTTGTGTTACTTTAATACTGCTTCTTTTCCTTATATATTATTGTATATGACCGGTATGGCCCTGACCTTCCTCGTCACTACTCGACCGCGGTTAGGCTTGGCACTTACTGGGTACCGCTGTGGTGTATTCATGCCCTTTCCTGCACTTATTTTTCATGTGCAGATCCAGGTACTTCGACTCAGCCCTACTACCCTTGAGGCGAGGCGATTCTCCAGAGACTTCGAGGTATATCTGCCGCGTCCGCAGACCGAGGAGTTCCTTTCCATTCTCTGTTGTAGTGATAGCCCTTCTATCTTTTCTTTTGATTTAGACATTCCGGAGTTAGAGCATTTTGTCGTATTCATAGCTTGTGATTCATGGGATTCCGAATTTTGGGAGTTGTTCGGTTTTGAGATCTTGTATTGTATATGCCGAGCGGCATCTTAAACAATTCTATATTTGTTATCTTTTGTTTTTATTAGTTTTTCCGCATTTGTTTTCTTTTCCGAAATTGTTAGGCTTACCTAGTCGTAGAGACTAGGTGCTGTCACGACATGTTCACGGAGGGCGAACTTGGGCCGTGACAAAAAATATAAGTAATACTATTTAATATCATTTTCCCACAAACTGAAGAGCCTTGACCCAATGGTTTAGTCAAAGATTATTGCTAAGGGAGGTGTTACAGAGGCGAACCTAGGATTTGAGCACGACGGGGGCACCACTGTATGCTAATCACCAGCGATAAGGAATAAAATTAATTAAGTTGGCTATTGTGTATTAGTACTAAACTGTAAATGAAATAAAAAAAGAAGATAAAGGTAAGAAAAAAAAAAGCAATTTGTTATTAAATATAAATTATATTATATTCAAAGAACTAAAATATTAATAAAGTTGACTATTATATATTAGCACTAAATTATACTTGAATTCAAAAAAAAAAAAGAGATAAAAGTAAAAGATAAAGTAATTTGCTATTAAATATAAATTACATTGTACTCAAAGAATAAAAATAAAAAGGAGCAGAAAACAGCTAAAGGGGGGTTTTCGAACCTACGTCTCCAACAAAGTTGGGAATTTAAGGGGCCAAAGCAACCACTTCTCCCATCCACCTCTTTGTTTTATAGGGCACACTTAAAATATTTAAGGGGTCCCATATATATGTACAGATATATATAATATGTATATACAGGATTTTTGCCGACGCTAACGGGGTCAGGTGACCCCTCAACCCACCACATAGGTCCGCCTCTGGAGATGTAGGTTTAATTCTCCTTAGCCTCAATTTTTTTAAGCAAAAATGCTCGATCAAAGATGTTCAATAAATAGGATGTTCAGGTCTAGCCTTGAACGGACGATCTTTACAAGCAAAAATATGAGGTTGACCAGTGGCCAAGAAGTACTCTTTGCAATAGAGCGGTGTTTTTATTATATATATTTTTTATTTTTGCAGAATATTAGTACAAATAATTTAATATGTTTTTCCCGGGTGACACCGCTTCCTCCCATATCTATGTCCACCCCTGGTTGTAACCATAATTATGTGATTTTTCTGTTATAATATAAAGAAAAAATGATTTCACCCTATAATTTCACTAGTTGGATGACGATTTAAGCAATCAACTCCTATAATGCAATAAGAATTTGGAGACTCTTTTCTTTCAAATTGTAGAGCAATGCATATATGAGCCAAATGATGGTCTGGCTTTTGTGTTTTCTCTGTCCTACAAGTCTACTATTTCCGCTCCACTAGTAAATGAAGATGGAAATAAGTTTTTGCTATTTGAAATAAACATCAATTAAAGCTCACAGTCTCAAACAAAGATGAGAAACCCCCACAATTATTTCATAGGTAAAAAAAATCATAATCTCAAATAAGTAAAATAAAAGAACCCATATATATATATATATATATGTATATATATATANAAAATGCTTAAATAGTTAAATAGTGCTTAAAACAAGCCAAAAGTTTTATGTTTTCGACTTGAAAGCTATTTGTGTCGAAAAGCCATTTTTTGTAAGGCAATTCAAATGGGCTCTAAGTTTGCCCATCGAAGCTTAGACATATGGGAAAAAAATTACTTTAACATTTTTGTGGTATTTTGCTCTTTGTTTGAGATCTTTCCATAAGACTAGTCGGCTGATAATATTGATGATCAAATTGACCATGTGATGCTCTTCTTTGTTTGGTTGGATCTTTCTGATGATTTATTTGTCTTTTTGGGTATTTCATTTGCACCCTTAATTATTAGAAATTTTGAGTAGTGGTGGGGTATTACAAATGAGCTCTTTAGATCATCGTCATAGCTTGATTAGCATATTATTTCTGACCCAATCAAATAATGCAAACATATCACAAAACAGTAATGATAGACAAAGATGACTAACGTCCATATCTGACCAACTTGCTTACTTGCCACCCCTCGTCAGATGGATGTCCTTAAGACCCTGATGCTGAACGTATTTTCTGATATTTTTTGTTTTTTGGTTTAACAATCTACTATTCAAAATTCACTGGCCCGATTAAGTTCCTATTTGCGCTGTGTAGGGTTCATTTAACGGGAAAGCGTTCCCTACTAGGAATTTTTCTTTCTCAGGGCTTGAACTTGAGATTTTCGATTAAATGTGGAGGGATCCCATCCATTCCATTGTACATTGACCATGTTCATATTATTAGAAATAGTGGTGCCGCAGTCGTTTCACCATTTCTGTTAGTTGCTGCTTATGCGTGGCTAGTGGTGGTAGTAGTTGACTTTTGCTATTTCCATTTGCATATGGTTTTCTTGAGCTGGTATTGATGACGGATTTGTTGACACAATGCGGACATCAGATGAAAAAGGGCGTTATCTGTCGAATATATAGCCCCTTTTTTCCCCACAAATCCAGTAAAATCTCACATGCAGGATTTGGGGAGGATAGTATGTACGCACTCCTTACCCCTACCTTAAGAAAGTAGAAAGGTTGTTTCCAGTAAACTCTCGACTCAGACAAAATACAAAGGTAATTAATGAAGATAAGAAGGTTCAGAAAAGGTAAGAAGCAGGAACAATGAGCAACCATACCATCAAAGCAAAATGCTAGAGAAGAATAAATACAAAAAACTTCAAGAAGCAAATAATTGAATTATCATATGAGGTCTTGATAGACAAAAAATGTTGAATTATCATGAGGTCAAAACTGTTCACATTTGGACATGCATTCTAATACAAACACATAAATCTTATCCTATCAAGACCTCACCTAACATCTTCACCCAACATATCATTTTCAATGGAAAACTATAATCCAAAAGCACCTTCACATGACTAAAACATGCTATTGGATCCTAACTAGCAGTTTTCTTGTTGGAATTCACTTGTAAATGATTGACAACATCACATCTGCGTCTCACCTCTCCCTTTTTCCCAGTTTTAACGTGATAAACGCTTACTTTCTCAATTGCATGAGCAAATGCTTTAAAAAATGCATCTTGATCCTTTGCATAAAGCTCCACAAAAGGCTTAGTCCTAGGATCTGAAACCATAGCTTGATCTGAAGCCAATAACCCTAGACCTTTTTGCAAGTTTATGTAGTACATGTTGTCGAACTTGCCAGGTGTCATCACGTCATTGAAGGCCGCCATATCTTTCGAGTTATTCCCACATAGCTTTCGTAACGCTTGTGCCAATGTAGGATTCATAGAAGGATCAATTTCTGAAGTGTTGCTATATTTGAAAATTCTCTTGCTAAACTCTGAACAATGTGAGAAACCAATAGTATGTGCACCCACTAAAGCCACCATTTCTTGTATGTTTAGATTTTTCGATGCAAACATGTTGATTATTGTGTCCATTGTCATGTTAGGCCTAGCAATATGGCCTTCAACATCTTTTGCGTATGATTCAAAGCTATCTTTTCGGCCGAGACGAATGTTATAAAATGGACCTCCAACCATGGTGATTAAGTCTCGAGTTGCAACGGCTAAAATATCAGCACAAGAAACAATGCCGGGGCATTGGAGTTCTAGGGCAGTCTTTGCTCGTGCAATAAGGTCAAAGGCGTCCCCGGGCAGAGAGAGGTTTATATCTGAGTCGCGTTCCGCCGTGGCAAAGGAGTTTGAGGAAATAAGTAACGAGGCGTCACATCCTCCCACCATGCAGTCGTGGAAGAAGAGGCGGAGGGTGCCGGCTGCTGTCGTGGGCGCGGCAAGTTGCTTGTCGACGACAATTTGCTGGATGATTTTTTCAAATTGAGGACAAGATTTATTGTAGTAGTCAACATTGAGCTTGGATTCTGTTAGAGAAAATAAGGCTAAAGATGAGAAGAGGAAAATTGAAAGAAGTGGTAATGCCATGGCTTCTGAATTGAGAAAAAAAAAATGGTGGTGAAAGAAGATAGAAATGAAAGAAGGCTTTTAGTATTGTGTACAATGACGTTTTGAATTTGAGATGGGCAATATTTTGCATGCAACAAACATAAACTAGAGGTCTCAAATTTGTTCAAGGGCCGTTGTTTACTCCTTTCCTTCTAGCTAGTCTTTGCCGCTCCACATATTGCATTATATTAGTGATAATTTATGTTTTATCCCGTACGGTATAAATATATACATAATAAGATCACTTAAAATCTAATTGCAGGTAACTGTTTAATTATGTTAAATTACGATGAAGATTAAGTTATAGTAACCCAGATTGAAGGGTATGTCCACTGTCCACAATCCACATGCCTGAAATTTTTACAAATTAGTATCTTTAGGGCGTTTTAAAATAGTATTCCTAGTGTTCTAATTTTTTTTCCAACTATTTTCAAGAGGAAGTTCTATTAAACTTAGATAGCAATTTCTCGAACAAGTTTTTAATATTTGGAAGAGAAACTAAATTACATTTTTCTTGTGCGTGTAGCGTCTATATTTTAAAATACTACCTTGTACCTTTCTGTGTGACATGATTACTACTTGGTAGTGAAATTGTCTTTCTCTTTGACATTGATTTTCATTTTTTTTAGTTTTAGTTGTTTGTTGCGGAAGATCGTGGTTTCACTAGTATACAATCACACTCAAAGAAAATAGAAAAGAAAAAACAACGTAACATAAGGATTGAGGTTCCGCTAAGTTTAATCCTCGATGTAGAAGTAGAGTGAATTTTTTCACTATGAATGAGAAGAATACATTGTACAGAGAGTCCCCATTTATAACCCATATATATATATATATATATATATATATATATATATATATATTACCCCATTGACCTAAACACTTGAAGTGGCAGATCCAACAATAGGTTCACGGATTCGTTTCAGAGTCAAACTTTATATACATGACCCGAAAATAACTAAAAGTAGAGTGAAATATATATTTCAGAAGTCACTCTCTCGACTCACGACCCACATCATTTGAATTCTAAATCTGCCACTGCGACCGCTTCTACCTCCTATTCTCCTCCACCACCATCCAGGCCATGTATATGACCGGTGGCGATGATCGCAGCGCCAGCTGTTCCAGCATTGTTGCTACCATGATTATCGGCTTCACCATGGCTGATCTGATCAGTGTGATCAGCAGCAGCGATGGTGTTAAAATTACCTCTATTTTTGTGAGTTGGTGTTGAATATTTGTGAAGCTCTTCCTTTTGGTGTTGCCTCATAGCTTTGTTGCTTGGCTTTGCTGCTCTTCCAATTCATCGTACAAAAACAACACTTCTTGATCCCCATATCACTTGATTTCAAACATGAGATCTTTCAATTGTTAAGTATCATAATGTTGCATCAACATTCAAGATAGAAGAAATATTTCTGTGGAATGAAGTAGTTTTGATCATTTCAATTGTTCTTCTTCTTCTGTTGGCCTTAATAGATAATACCCTTTAATTTTTAATTTCGATATATATGTTGGATTAGTGCAAAATGGACCTACATTGACATTATGGCAAGAACATGGCTAAACATAATTGTCTGCTAACTACTCATCTAGGCTGGCTTTCTCTATTATAAATTTTAATTTTGTGTGGTCCTGATCTATTTGATTTTGTATACCACCTATTTATATTTTAAATTTAAGTTCTATACAAAGACTATTACACAATCAAGTTGCGTAAATAGTAATAAAAAATCTTAGAATTTTATGATAGACATTAATTGGTAACTTGATAAAATAGTAAGTACATATATTACAAAAAGTTAAATTACACTAATAATGCAACAAAAATATTTACACTAAATTAAGGAAATGTTAATATTTTCTCACTCATTACTATTATTTACTCACTTATTTGTACAACCAAATTAAGAAAATGTTAAAATTTTGAATCTCTTATTAATAATAATTACATAAATTTCCATTATATATAATAACCTAGTAGTTGTATTTTTGGATCTTTTAATATATTTGGGACCTCAGAAAATGGTTTCAGTAGCCTTACCCTTCAATCGCCCATCTGAGTTTTTGACTATAACAGTGGTGTCATCACCATCATTATTAGCCATCAGATCTCGGAACGACGACGCTCTAATATCACTTGATTCAGTGGAAACGATAAAAAGATTGTGTTTATATGTTGGGAGTAACAGAAAATCTCAAACGATAGAGAGATTCTCAATAATCGATCAACATTTGTTGACCAAAGAAATGAATTACAAGGACTATCTATAACTAAACTTCTAATAAAACTCTTAATTAATAAAGGCAAGAGTTGAGACATGTTGATGTACGTGATGACCATGTTGATATATTGGTTGAGACATTTTGCTCCCAATATTTAATGGACGTTGTTGTGACCTCAGCCTTTGATAATGTCATTGATACTTGTCACTTATCTCCCAGAGGTAGAGGTAGGGGAAAAGGCAAGAGTAGAGGTGGCAGAACTTCTTCAAGGGGCAGAGGAGGCAACAAGCATAAACCAAAGCTTGGAAAGGCTTAAAAAGGTCAAGCTTCTCTAAATCTCTAATCTTGTATAAGTCCTTATATTGGAATATAAGGAGCATCAAATCTAATGGTGCCCTTGAAAGACTTAAACAACTAATCATAGGAGAAAAACTTCCTATCATTGCTTTAGGTGAACCGTTTCACAAACAAATAAACTGGATAGGTTCAAAAGAATTTTGGGGTACCAACATGCCTTTTCAAATTGTAACAGCCAGATTTGGGATTTGGGTCTTCTGGGAAGATCAACTGGATTGTGATGTTATTGATGAGGATGAGCAACAAGTCACTTGTAGTATAAATATTGATGGAGTTTCTCTACTACTCTCTTTTGTTTATGCAAACTGTGAGGATCATCTGCGAGAGCATCTTTGGGATAAACTTAGGCTTGTTTCAGGGAATTACAGCATGCCATGGTTAGTGTCTGGTGACTTCAATTATATTATTGATCCGGCTAAGAATGAAGTAGGTACCAAACATAGAATGTCAAAGAGCATATCTTTCATACAGTGCATTATGGATTGTGAGTTAATGGATGTTGGGTACACTAGGTCAAGCTTTACATGGTGTAATGGTTGGGCTCCAGAGAGGAGAGTTTGGCAGAGATTATATAGGGTTCTCTTGAATCATGAGTGGCTGAATCTCTTTGCCAATACCAGTGTTAACCATTTGATTAGAACTGGGTCTGATCACTCTCCTCTTTTGATCTCTACTAACTCTAATAATGATGATGATTATGTTACATATTTTAGGTTCTTGGATTTCTGGACAGAAGAACCTGGTTTCTTGGATATTGTTGAGTAAGCTTGGAGTATTGATGTCTCTGGTTCACCACTCTAAAAGTACCATTTAAAACTTAAAAGTACCTGCAAAAGGCTTTCAAAGTGGTCCAGAACCTCCATTGGGAATATTTTTACAACTGTAAAATCCTTAGAGGATAAGATTGCAATGTTGGAACTTCAATCTACCAATGACAACTCAGAAGCTAATAGAGTTTCCCTTAATCAGAGTAATGTTGAACTGATAAGGGCATACAAGAAGGAAGAGACTTTTTGGAGACAAAAATCTGGAATCAAGTGATTTGTGGAAGAAGAAGTCAACACCAGATTCTTTTACTCTGTGGTCAAGGGAAAGAAGAGGAGGTTACCTCTATCTAGAATGTAAGATGATGACGGCAACTGGATTGAAGGAAATCAGTGTATTGCTCCGGAGGCTATAAAGTGTCTCGAGAAGCAATTCACAAAGGAGAACACCCAGAAGGACTTTTATTTTGTGAGTTGCCTTCCAGGGAATGTTAATCAGGAGGATAACAAAAAACTGCTAGCACCACCTTCAATTGATGAATTGAAGAAGATCATCTTCTCTATGAGCACGCACAGTGCTCCTCGACCTGATGGGATCTCTGGAAATTCTACCAATCATGTTGGGAGATAATAAAGGAGGATTTACTACTAATGATACTTGATTTTTTTGCAGGTACTTCTTTACCAAGATCTTTTACTCACATATGCCTTATCATGATTCCAAAGGTGGAGAATCCCCAATGATTCACTGAGCTAAGACCAATCAGCCTTAGCAACTTCTTTAGCAAGATTATTTCCACACTTATGAACCAGAGACTTGGCCTCTTATGAAGAAATTGATCTCTCCATATCAGACTGGTTTTATCAAAGGCAGGTCTATTACTGAGAATATCATGCTCACTCGGGAAATGGTGCACAACATTAATTAGTCTCCACATCTTGGAAATGTTATGATAGAGTCGATTTGGACTACTTATGCCAAGTTTTGAGGCAAATGGGATTTTCAGAAGTATTGATTGATAGAGTCTGGAGGCTAATCTCGAATGTCTAGTATTCAATCAACCTAAATGGTTCAAGGCAAGCTTTCTTCAAATCTAGTAGGGGTATTAAACAAGGGGATCCTCTTTCTCTATCATTGTTTGTCATTGGAGCAGAGTTATTATCCAGAATGATGAATAGACTACCTGAAGAAGGTTTTATTCCATATTCATCTGAGAGAACAGGGCCCTTGATTACTTAATTATGTTATGCGGACGACACCATTTTATTTTCCTCTGGAGATCCAACATCCTTGAAGATGATGATGAATAAACTGGAGTCATATGAAATCATCTTAGGATAGAAGATCAACAAGAGTAAATCTAGTTTCTATGTGCTAACTAACTTCCCTCAATTTGAGCTCAATAAAGTGGAGGATATTACTGGTTTTTCTCAACTTTATTTCCTAATGCAGTACTTGGGGTGTCCCATACACTTGTGGAGGAAAAAAGTAGTTCACTTTAACAACAGGGTAGCTAAAATTTCCAATAGACTGCAAGGATGACAAGGGAAGCTCCTATCTTATGGTGGGAAAGCAGTGCTCTTTAAATCAGTATTGCAATCTCTTCCCTTTTCACTTGTTTTCTGCTCTTTATCCTCCTAAAACCGTTCTTTCACAAATAGAGAAGATCATAGCTTACTTTTCTGGGGAAAGGATGACATGAAAAATACATTCCACTGGAAAAAATGGAGTGATCTCTGTTTCCCTATTCTTGAAGGTGGGGCTGGCTTTAGATCACTATCCGATTTCGTAAATGTCTTCTCTGTTAAGGCATGGTGGAACTTCAGAACTAATCAGAGTCTCT